AGCTGATGAGCACCTGTGAAACTTGGTAAAGCAGAAGGGTCAGCGAGACAGAGGACTGCTCCTACTGCATCTCTTTATTTAAGACTGCTCAGAGGAAGAAAGAGGCATAAATGAGTCTGTAACAGCTGTCACAGCAGTTGTTTCAGCCAGCCAAATCCTGTGAACGCTTTCCATTCCCATTTGCTGAGCAACTCCCGAGATCAAGACCAAGCCACAAGCAACAGCATCTCTTGAGCGCTGAACACCAGGTTCTCAGTCGGGGAGGAAGGAGTGAGAAAATAACAATGGCATCACACACAACCCCCAAAAAACCCTAAAATTGATGTGACATAGAGAAGCTATTCTGATCGCATCTTAAAAGCCTGAATGAAATATGCTAATTTGCAATGGAGGTGGGAATTTTTTTTAATCAGGCAAAGACATGTGCATAGGTAAATGGGAGGATGACATTAATGTTGCTTTGGAAAAAATATTTTTGTTCAAATATTAACATCACTGTCCACAATTAGGAGATTATACTGTAAAATGAGAAGACTTTTTTGTATAACACTGCTTCACATGTTGGAGAGAAGAAAGCGTGGTAACTATCCTCATTCTTTCAATGTCATTATTTTTTTGTAAGATTGCTAGCCATGCCATCATTAATATCACAAGAGAATTCACGTTTGTTTAGTCTAAAATGAAAGTAAATTGGACTTCATACCTAATACCTTAAAGCCATGCTGAAACACGGGAAGTCTATTATCTTTATACCATGTATTTTAGGATTTTTTTTCTCCCCACTCCAGCAGAAGGCTGACAGTTTATAACACAGCAGTGCAACTGCCTCATTTGCACACTCACAGTGCTGGATAAGGGGTTGGAACGCTTGATTCCCCAGAGGTCCTCCTTGTTTTTTCCCCAACAGAAAACATCTCCCTGTATTTCAATGCAGCTGTGACAAATTTTTCAAAATAATGGATATCTAGCCTTTAGATAATGCCTTTCACGCAGAAGAACGTAAAAACGCATTACACAGGGCTCATGCAAATCATTTCACTATGCACCAGGCAGCAGAGAGGGGAGCCTGGAATCAGGAGAGGAGCAGTCCGTTCCACATGGCACCTCCTGCCCGTGGCCCTGGGACCTGACTCATCCCTGTGCACCATTTCCTGCATCAAATGCATCCTATATTACAGTTTAAAAATCAAGAAAGAACTGTCGAATCTCCTCGAAGCTTCCCTATGCCATACTGGACAGACATCCAAACACATTCAAATATACTGCCCAATTGCTTTTGCTCAGGAAATGAGGTAACACCTTCGACCACCAAGTCATGCTGACTTTTTGTTATGTCAATAGCACTGTCTAAAACCTGGCTTTTAATAGCAGCTATATCACCCATCTCCATTTATAGCATTACTGTGGATTGTGCCACAGCACATTTGTTATAAAATTCTTCAAGAATAATGACAATAAAACCAAGACAATTACTCCTCCAAGCACTAGCGTTGGGGTATTTTTTAAAGAACAGATTTGATTGAAAGGTAAAGATTAACTTTAAATTCCTCCACCCCTTCTTTTATTTGAATATGAAAAGAAGGTGTAATACAGATGCTTACCTTGATATGACATTAAAAGACAGTTTGGGTCAATATAATTACTGTAGAAGAGCAGAATTTTTTTTTTAATCCTTAAATATTTGTACTTACTGATTTTACCCTTCAGATGCATTTTAGTATTCTGGGGTAATCAGCCAAGTCCAAACCACAGATGCAGAAGTAACTACTAGACAGTCCCTCCCTCAATGTATATATTGTGCATACAATATCACAGGTTAATCCCCCCAAAAAAAAACTAGAAAAAATTTATTTCTGCAACAACATTTTAGAATGTAACCATGTCAGTCAAAGTGACCCCCAGAAGAGCTTCTGTGCACTTGACGGCAGGTTTATGGACATGTTGTAAATGTCAGCCTACACCATTTTTAATAATAAAAAAAGACACTATAATACTGTTTCCTTGTATCCAGGACAGAAAATCATTTGGTAAGAGTAAGAACATTTATTGGTTTTGACATAAAAATTTCTTGCTGTGAGGTGGAAATGCTGTACTCCAAATACCGGAAGAAACGTGAAATCTCAAGGGTTATGTTCAGTAACTCTTGGTTCAAAAGCAGACGCTGCAGGTGCATTATTTAAGAGCTTGTCAGAGATGATCTTCTACAGCACACTACTCCAGGATGCATCTCCTGCTACAGCTGGGAAGGGGATTCTCATGTAAATACATGGCAGAGCTGGCTAGCTGCACATCAAGCCCATGCTGCCCAACCCTCTTCAATACCACTGTGGTCACTATAAAATGTTAGTATCAGAAAAGGTCTTCAGTACTGAATGCAACTACTCCTCCCATGTACCCCATGTAAGAGCAGTTCTTTGGCTGAGCTCTTCAGAATGCATTTGCTCTGAGAAATTCAAAGCAACATTTTTCTCAGTAGCCATACTTGATGTTCTAAAGTGTATTTTGTATTGCTGTATTCAGTGCTAATTTGGTGCCACAAAGATGTAGGATATTCAATGCAAATGAGAAACAGTTGCAGCCCAAGCTACACCTTTGAATTTCCCGACTCCTGCACATTCAGAAACTTGAGCATATTTTATTTAAACTTTTTTTTTTTCTTCATTTCTTTCAGAGCATAAATCCTTGAGTAGAAAGTAGTCACATCAAGATTTCAGTAGGGATGATCACAAACATGCTAGTAGAAAACCAGAGAGGCTCAAAGGACCAAACTGTTAAAAACCAAAACAAAAAAACCCTAATCCAAATGGGTTGACTGGGTCCTCTATGCCTATAGCAGTGAGCTAGATTTTCAGCTGTGTAAGCCATGGGAACACTGTCCTTAGCACAGATGAGCTCATTTGTGCAAAGGATCTGACCTGTGTTTCTGTGTAAGATACTCCAGACATATGTAAACCTGCAGAGCTACCTTCCTGTTACTCTTGCACACCCATCAACATTTCAGGAAGAAGGAATTTCCTATGCCTTTTGGGTGCCAGAGTGAAAACAAACACAAAATCCAATTTGAACAATTCCAGTACAGACTTAAAAATCCCTCACACAGGAAAATCACAGCTGGTAAAATATTTTTTTTCTTTTTTACATAAATGAGTAGCTTAGAAAGAAATAGGAAAGAAAAATCACTTTTGGCTAAAAAGAAGCAGGAGAAATACAATTTTAAATTCCATATTTTTAGAAAATGCTGTTTTGTGAGAAAGTGCTCGCCTTACACATGTTGATACTGGCCATTGAGAAAGGATACAAAGATTAGAAAGAAATGGCTTTCCTAATGTATCATTGCACTAAACAACATTTGAGAGCGGAAGAATACAGAGAAAGCAATGGTTGTGCCTTGAATATGGAGTATGCTGACCACTTTTATGGCACAAAAAACATCTGTAACAAAACATTTTGCACAAAATTGTGCTCTGCAGTGGGGAGGGAAACTAAAGAATGAAAAAGGAAGGTGACCCTATGTATGATTAACTGAAAAAAAGAAAGTAGCTCTGTATCATCTCTCTCTTGCACTGAACCCTGAAGGGAAGAAAAATTAGGATGATTACACATTTAACTGCACTAATCCTGGATTAAAGCATTTAATTCCTAGACTGTTTACAAGCCATCAGTACAAACATTAATAAGCAGATATATGGCAGGCTGCTTTAAAAGTGTATTACTTTGCTGTCAAAACTAGCTGCAGTATGAATTCAGGAGTATGCAATGTTTTATTCTTTTTAAAGGCAGGCTTTATCTTAGGGGTTTTAAGTAATCTCTTATGCCTCAACCACTACATAAAAATATTACATCTTCTGCAAACATTAAGTAGGTGTTTTCTCTTTTGTTAGCAAATGGAGTACACCCTAGCCTTTTAAATTTTTGAATGGCTTTGAAAATAGAAGGTGTCTCCAATATAATACTTGTAACAGGTAAATTATATCTCTTCAGTCAAGAGTAACAATTAACAGAAAGCATCTACCATGTTTACCTTTATGAAGCATTATTGTACTAAGTAGCACAGAACCTGAATGCAAGTGAAAATTTGCATTATTCTGGGGGACATCTGGAAAACTTCACCGTTAACTCTAAGAAAACTGATAGCTCTGAGGGAAACTTGCCTCTACACTCTCCTTCATCAACAAGTATTACCCAGTCACTCACGGTACAGGTGCACAACCCTATCTGCTTAAGCCTTGTTTTGGCATTTCAAAAAACCCCAAAACCTTTCTCAGCCTGTGTTCATGTGCCGGCAGCCACCACGGGCTGGCACGTCACAGCATGACCAGCTTTCACGCCTCGGAATTTCCAACGTGCACCTTGCTTTTCAGAAATGGGTTACGGGAGAGAGATTTAATTCCAGTTTCCCCTCAGATTTTTTCCATTTATCCTGTTATGAATAGCACAACTCCTCCCACCACTCCTCCCCTCCCCAGTAGTGTATAAATTCATTTCCTCTAGTTCACTTTAACTTGTGTTTTAACTCAATGGAAGCTGGGTTCTTGATCTAAACCCAACTATAGTCAAGAAAAGTCTTTCCACAGGCATTAATGGGTTTTAGCTCCGCATGGGGAAACCCAGGTGTGACACTGCAGTGCAACACCATTTAATTCCATGTATTTCTGCAGGCGCAGGAGCAGGAATTGTCCCAAGTTTCACCCTCTCTAAGGTTTGGGATAATGCAAAGCTTTGTATCAGACGGGAAACTACACAAACACGAGGTGGAAAACTTCTAGGTGACAGAATCGTTGCAGTCAGGTAACTTGGGAAACAATAAATTCATTGATTTCGCTAGCTCGGAGACATTTTGTGAAACTCTACATTGTCTCTCAGTGGCAAAACCGCAAAGTCTCTGTAGTGGCATGCTCTGTGATGGAATGCCCGTTGTTCTCACAGCATTCTGCACACATAACTGAGATTATCACGCACAAAAAGACTGAGAGAGGGGAAAAAAAAACAACAGAAAAAAGGCATCTTAGAAGTTACTTATGTTTAATGCTTAAAAGTCTGAATGCACAAACAATAATCTACCATTATAGAAGTACTGGTGGTCAATACAATGCATTAGAACTATGTACAATGACACAGTTTAGTATCAAAATCTTTCTACAATGTAGAGTATTACGAAACTGTTAATGACATCAAACACTAAGCACTTAAGACACCATTTTTTGCTACCACATTTTGAACTTCAATGAACAGTCCATTTTAACTTGCAGCATCAATCCATTTCTAGTATGAAATTAAGTAATTTTCTACTTATACAATAAGATTTATCTACACGGGTCTTTTGATTTTGATCCATAGCAGCAAAGGCACTGTACATCAGCAGATCCACAGACTTAAAGATTTTTCTTAAAGCATTCAAAAAAAAAAAGTCACAGATCATAGTTTAACAGCAACAACAACAACATAAAAAGATAACACGTTGTCTCTGGCACAATGGCTCAGTCTGCGTCCGTTTTAGGGACATCCAATCAAGACTTGGATTGAACTGCTGGCGAACAAAGCAAGTCCTTATCCCAGTAAGTATCCATTCCTTTTTGTATTTTGGAATGAGTACTCCTGTAAATCCTACCTTGGAGGTCATTGCTTTTGTAGTTTGTATATTGGTAGGCATCCATTCTTATTTCAGTGCAGTTTCCAAAGAACATATCAAATATTTTTCATAATCTCTTGTAATTGAAAAATTGCCCAAAGACACATATCCCCATTTTCAAGGAAACATTGCAAAAGTTTCCAGAAGTAACAAAGGTGATTCTTTGAGGCAACTTATTGTACTCTCTACAATATAACAAAGAGAGGTGTTTATATTAAAAAACCTAGCTTGACACCAAAATGCTTTATGTCTATCAACAGAAAAGCATTGAGAACAAATCTGTACACAAGATGCTATTTTAACATTGCAAATATATAAATTAGCACATTCTTACTTAAAGTGAATTTAATTTAGATGTGAACTGAATTTGCCATTCATCACAGGCATGTAGATTACTGGCTACAGTTTGCAATTTCCTAAGTTTCCAAGACTGTCTAAAATAGTTAAGATACAGCATCTTCCCACCAAATAATTATACTGTAATAACACTTAGAGGTCTCATCCAAGAACAGGACTAAAAAATATAACAAAGTTTATTTTTTTTTAAATAGAAACTACAAGTCTATTTAGTGTAACTTTAACTATCTCCTGAACATCCTTCTCCAAGATCCCCAATTAATCCACCTGCAAAAACACAAAGTATACAATGCACCTTTCAAACTAAAGCCGGGCCAGACAGCTTTATTTAGTCAGTTCATTGTTAGAAAGCCTTCTTTAAACAAAATAAATACATTACATGTATAATATATAATTAAAGAGTCAAGTTCACTGTTAAGTATGCTTATTCCATCTTCTTCCAAGTAGATATCTGACAATTTGGTATCACAAGTTCTTAATGAGCAATCACAAATCAATAGCAAGTTAAGAAGGTAAAAATAAATTCCACAACTGTGATGAGCATTTAAGTTCTCAGTTTAGAAAGAAAAAAAAAAGGAATATACAGCAAAGTGCTAGGAGAAGGAGTTCTGTCTGCATTCAGATTTGTCTCTAATAAATAACTTCATAGACTGTAGCTTTCTTGTCCCCAGAGCCAGTGACAATGTATTTGTCATCCACAGAGATATCACAGCTAAGCACAGATGAGGATTCTTTGGACTACAAGAAAGAAAAAAAAAAAAAAAAAAGAACATTATGTCTTTCCAATCTTTCAATCTAGAATGGCTTGAAGATTAATTAGAAGAGTTTATAGAAAGGGAATATACCAAAAGCTCATTTAAATATCAGGTCTGTAGTGGCAGCTTTTGTTACAAGACTCTTTCTCCAAACTTACTCCACCTAAAGCACTATAGCAATAAAAATCAGCAGCGGAAAGGGACGTGAATGTTATGGACCTAGAGATAATCTATGAATCAAACAAAAAGAAGGAGTCCTTTCTATAGGCTTTACAATCAATGAGCATTTCTTAATATTTTAAATGTTAGCTTTTGCATAAAAATGAATGAAAACCCATCTTCTTTTTCCCTCCCTTTTTTTGCCGTAAACCAGAAATCCATATGGCGAAGCACTACAAAGCCCTACCCACCCACAGGTATGAAAGAAAGAGACTCCACAGAAGTAAGTGTATCTCCTCTCTCTATTTCCCGAACACCGACAACTAAAGCCTTGCACAAAGGAGGACATTATTAGCGAGGATGCAAATATGAAAAGATACTGTGGCAGAATAGGATGCGCAACAGCGTACAGCAGGTGAATGGGAGACAGGATACACCAGGATGCAGTAGCTCTGTCTCTCCCAGCTTTTCTGACTTTTCTGAGATGATGTGTACATTTTACATGCTGGTTTGGTGCTCGTTTTCTTTATGTAACATTTTTCCACATTCTTTTCTGCCTGTCATTGCAAGAGCTAAGAACTTCCCAATCATGCTATGTTTTTGCCAAGAAACCTCTGCTGCACGGCACAGGAAGTTTCTTTCTCCAACCCTCATTAGGAAAGCTGCACAGGGGTTTTAACATCAGGTTTAAGGCAGATGTGTTCTTGATTTGGGCTTTCTGTGGGAGGTGGTTCCGGAGCGGAATAGTCTCCACTAAGAAAACTCAGACCTTTCTCTTGTCAAGGCAAACTGCGCTGTCCTCAAAGACGGAGACATGGCAGGGATCAGTACAGGTGAGATCTGACCATTTAAACCAGAACACCAGTTAAACTAATTCAAGAAATTCCCAGCCTAGAGGTACCTGGAGGTGAAAGAAGGGAGGACATGCCAAAAAATCCTACTTTTCTTTCATGGCACTGAAGTGCCACTAAAATTGGGCACTGAGGGTTTAAAGACTATAGAAAGATTACAACTTCCAGTTACACTCCGCAGGGCTCCTCCATAAGGATACACTCTTCAGCTCAGGAGTCCGCCTGTTCAATCCACTGACTTCATGCATCTCATCCAAGAAAAATACACATGTTGAATATGACTCACTGTTTCAGCTACACTTTGGACCTTCAGTGAATGCTCACCTAACCACATGACTTGGGTACTGTATTACAGCAATATGCACAACAAGGTGAGAAAGAAGGGTATTAAAAACAATTTTGGATGAAAGGGTTACTTTATTGTAAGAACTAAATCACTCAAATGTTAGAAAGGACAAAAGCATATCTCTCTTTAATTACAGACAAAGTCTTAAAGGAACATAGTAATTAACCAAGAATTTCCATTTAAAAACTCCTTAAGCTAATGACAGACCCTGAGATGTGCAGCTCTACTGCACTGTAATGTATGTGGAAAATAGCTTTTAAGAGATTATTACCTGGAATATACTGGCTCCATAAGGTGTTCTCCAGGCATTAAGAAGATTATCTTTTCCAGTGCTCACAAACCATTTCCCTGCAACAGATTGTTTAAATATTATTGTTGCATTGTTTTCAAGGAATGCACCCCAAGAAACAGATTAATCATAAAAACAATGCATTCACACATTAATGGAAAACATATCCGAAGAACAGTCACATTTTCATCGGGTTGCACTACGATGTTTGATCACAACATAAGCAGTTCACACAAAAAAGCAGTCGTATAAAATTTTAAAAATTATTTTAATACTTAAATTTAGTATCTAATTTCTAACTATAACCTTACTTTCATTTAAAGGTAATCTTGCACGGATTTCTGATGAGGAAAAACACTAGCATAGAAAGATTTGCTTACCACAGTGAGCAAATTTGAGTGACAGCACACAGCTCTCATGAAGATGCAGCTGATACTTGTCCGGCTTAGTAACATGCAGCACCTCGACGTTACTGTTCTCCATTCCTACTGCCAGCCACTCACCAGTTGGACAATAGCCCAGTGAGAAGATCTGGAATTAGCACAGCACATGCTTCAATCAAGTAAAGGAATGAGCTTGAGATATTCAAAACCGACTCTTGCTACGCTGTTAACACTATGCAAAAACACATTTTGGTCTACTACAGTTTTAAAAACATGATAATCCAATTACTATAGTAATTGAGATAAATTAGTTCATGTAAACAAAGCTCAATAAAAACTGTGATAGTAAAACACTGAATCAAGCTATAAAAGTTAATGTCCTAGCTAATCTGACAGCATTTTAAAATATTTTCATATAATATTTTTTGAACAAAAATCTACAGAAAAGGGAACAGATTGCACACAGGAACACTTTAATCTAGCAATTCTTTAATAAAAAGGATTCTCCACTACTCTCATGGGTAAAGTACTAATCTGTCAAATAGTCATAATCCAGAACGATTTCTAACTGCCACATCAAACAAACAAACAAACAAACAAACCAACCGTGAGACTAAGTGAAAAATTCTTTGGAGTTCTCTTTGAGCGTGCTTTTTTTACTTTAAAAAAACCCCCAAAACCCAAAAGTGCTTGTTTTAGAAAACCATGACAGGTTTTTCTTAACATGCCAAAGCTTCTGAGACTGAACCTGTGATGTGAAGTCATGCTGCTGCAGCTGTCTCCCTTCTCTGAGATCCCACGATCTCACTGTATTGTCCAAGCCTCCCGTCCAGAGTTTGGTGCCATCATTAGAAATGTCAATACAGCTCGCTCCATCTGTGTGGCCCTGGAATTGCCTGAAAGTATTGAAAGAAGATACGCGCGTTCTCACACTGGAAAGAGTCAGTTCTGAGCACGTATACTAAATACCTCCCTTTTCTTTCAGTCCCTGAAACGCAGCCATTAAAGACAACAGTAACGTAGATTCCAATAGCAATCTGACATTAATATAAACTCTGGGACAACCACGTGAATTCTGTGATGAATTGATGAAGCAATCAGTCCAGACAGCCAAGTGCTAATCTGATTTCAAAACGCACGCTTTACGAGTCACATACTCTGGGGATCTTTGCTGCTGACTGTGCGATGCCCACTATTTGACTGAAAATACCCCACTCCCTCCAAAGGAACGTAGCACGATTGTCAAAATTCACTTAGTTTAAGAAGAATCTGCAGGTCACCAACAAAGCTGGAAAAAAAAGAGCAGTCTAAATGGTAACATGAGGGAGTAAAAGCCTGCCTTTACATGCAATACTGAAATATTACATGTAATAACATACACACAGTACAGTGCACAGAGAAGCTCTGTATGACTGGCTCCTAGCTTATTGTACATGAGTGTTGAGCAGCAACCCATATGCCCGAGACGCTAAGTTTGCAATGCAGTAATTTACACACATCTTTACACAAGACATATTTGCTGGAGCACTGATTAAAGAGATTGGAGCGTGAGCACAGTGTATTGCATGGAAACAAAGAAAACCATATGTTCAACGAACATACAGCAGTGTCAACACCAGCTGATCTTAGGAAATTACAGTTACGGGGCTGCTCAACAGGCCTGAAACTCTGAAACTCCGCAAACCTATAAACAATTATATAGACTTTTGTCAAGGTATTACCACAGCTATTGCCTAGCAATGACATACTGGAAGCAGCTATGCAGACACTGTGGAGAAAATAGCATACGTACGCAGAAGAGCACGTAAGGCCTTGTCTAATTAATTCTTCACAACCTGATGAACCTACCTCACTAAAGTCTGGTTATGTAGATCCCACACTGCAATGTTCCCATCGCTGCAGCAAGAGAAGCAGACCTTGGAATCAGGGCTGATAGCTAGGGCATAGCAAGCCGGAGCAGAAGACGTCAGCTCTGCTTTGATGCGAGGAGTTGGAGCTGCCAGGTCCCAAATGGATAATGTGCTGGCTTCCCCACCAACAATCAGGGTGCGGCCGTCAGGGAGCAATCTGCAGGAACGGATGTAGTTATCTCTGTTCTGTGGAGACAGAAGCCATCAAGAGATTACTCATGAGGAAAGGAAAACAGCATTAACATGAGAGCAGAAATCCATAAAAGTATTGTATTCCCTCCTGGTTTTAATGAGCCATTTATACTTATGACAATGATAAAGTGTATTAATGCCAGAAAATTACATGACATTAGGGAAGTACTTAAACTTGATCTACAAAATTCAGTAGTGAGAGATATTTAATCTTAATTAGCATCAAAACGCAAAGACCTGAACCCAGCCCAAAACAATTCAAGATAGCTGTATTTGACAGCTTGTGTAGAAAGTTACATTTTCATACTCTGTTTATTTCAGCACATTAACCTCTCGGCATGGGGGAGTACCAAATTCA